CTCTTCTTCCTTCCTCCTCCTGCTCTTCTTCTTTCCTCTTCCTTCTCCTCCTCTTCCTTCCTTCCTCCACCTCCTCCTCTTCTTCCTTACTTCCTCCTTTTCTTCCTCCTCCTCTTCTTTCCTCTTCCTCCTCCTCTTCCTTCCTCCTTTCCTTTCCTTCCTCCTCCTCTCCCTCCTTTCCTCCACCTCCTCCTCCTTCTCTTCCTCCTTCCTCCTCCTCCTCCTCCTTCCTTCCTCCTTTCCTTTCCTTCTTCCTCCTCCTCCTGTTCCTTCCTTCCTCCTTCTCTTCCTTCTTCCTCCTCCCCCTCCTCCTCCTCCTTCCTTCCTCCTTTCCTTTCCTGTTTTTATTTTTAGATATATATATATTTATTAATTTTTTACAATCACAAGTGCTTAATATTTTATCAGCAACATATTCTGGGTTCCAACATTTAACTTACTAATACATGTTAAATTCCTTTCTCTCTACCTCGTTTTTCTAGCCATTTTAAAAAAGTATCCCATGTTCTAAAATAAACTGAATCTTCTTTCTCTTTCATTTTCAGTTTTCCTTTCCTTTCATTTCCCATTCCTCCCTCCTTCCCTCTTTCCTTCCTTCCTTCCTTTCCTTTCCTTTCCCATTCCTCCTTCCTTCCTTCCTTCCTTCCTTCCTTCCTTCCTTCCTTTCCTTTCCTTTCCTTTCCCATTCCTCCCTCCTTCCCTCCTTCCTTCCTCTTCCTTTCCTTTCCCATTCCTCCTTCCTTCCTTCCTTCCTTCCTTCCTTTCCTTTCTTTTCCTTTCCTTTCCCCCCCCTCCTCCTCCTCCCATCAGGTATTCTTTAAAAACTCGGCTTGTGTCCCCCAGACCTGGGGGAGAGATGAGGGGCGGATCCCCTTTGAATGGTGGTTCCTTTTATCTCCTTTCTTGCAGATTCATCCCTATGTGAACGGAGCCCTTTATAGCATCCTTGCAATTCCATCCATAAGAGAGGAAGCTCGAGCGATGGTAAGAGGCCAAAAGGTTTTTGGATATTCAATGGGCCAGACCATTGTTTCTCAACCTGGCGACTTGAAGATGCGTGGACTTCAACTCCCAGAATTCCCTAGCCAGCATGGCTGGCTGGGGAATTTTGGGCCTGAAGTCCAACCCACGTTCAAATCGCCAAGGTTGAGAAACACTGGGCTAGACTAACAACAGCCAAGCACAGGAACCAGCTATGTAGAAGGGTTGTTTTCTTATAGACGTTTCATTACCAAACTGGGTAACATCATCAGTGCTAGGAGGGAGTGAGGTTTATTCTCATTTTATATACAACTGGCTTGCCTTCTCAGTGTTAGTGGGAGGGGTCTTGGTAGTTCCTTGATTAGGCTGTTGTTGATGTTCATTCTTCGTGAAGAGGTTTTAGAATAGGATGGGATGGGATGGGATGGGATGGGATGGGATAGGATAGAATAGAATAGAATAGAATAGAATAGAATAGAATAGAATAGAATAGAGCTGGAAGGGACCTTGGAGGTCTTCTAGTCCATCCCCCTGCTCAAGCAGGAGACCCTATACATCTCAGACAAATGACTGGCTAATCTCTTCTTAAAAACCTCCAGTGATGGAGCGCCCACAATTTCTGGTAGCAAGCTGTTCCACTGGCTAATTGTCCTCACTGTTAGGAACTTTCTCCTTAATTCCGGGTTGCTTCTCTCTTTGTTCAGTTTCCAACCGTTGTTTCTTGTCCTGCCTTCTGGTGCTTTGGTGAACAACCTGACCCCCTCTTCTTTGTGGCAGCCCCTCAAATACTGGAACGCTGCTATCGTGTCTCCCCTATTTCTTCTTTTCTTTAGACTAGCCGAACCCAAGTCCCGCAGCCGTTCTTCGTATGTTTCAGCCTCCAGGCCTTGGATCATCTCAGTTGCTCTTCTCTGAACTTTTTCCAAGGTCTCGACATCTTTTTGGTTTCCTTTTTAGATTTTGCATCGTGTCTTGTCAATGGTGTGCAGCTGTTGTTTATCTCTAGGTGCCTCTTGGTGGCTGGTGTGTCCTAACGCCGGAACTTCCAGGAATTCTCTGGCGTTGTTGAACTCAGATGCTCACATTTTCCCAGTTGAGTTTGTCCACGTGTTGTGAGATTGAGGAGTTTTCACCATCTCTTCCGTCTGCTCGGTGGTGTCCATGGATGCGCTCTGCTGGTCTTCCACCAGTCTGTCCTACGTAGTGGCTGTTACAAGGCTTAGACTCTGTGTAGTAAATGACTCCTGTTTTTTTTCCTTTTTCTTCTGGAGCTGCTGGGCTCTTGGGTTTACTTTGGATAGTGGTGGCGAACCTATGGCACGCGTGCCAGTGGCGGCACGCGGAGCCCTCTCTCTGGGCACGTGCCATCACCCCAGCAAACGTGGTCTCTAAAAGTTCACCATCACTGGCCTAAGGCCAGCCAGCCTGGAGCCGCCATTGGGGAGCCCACCATCCCACCCGCCAGAGACCCCCTGGATCTCCCCTAACCCTGCCCTGCCCGGCTTCCACAAGTGTCCCTCCCCATAAGCAACATCGAGGTGGCCATGCCCACCCCGGCCATGCCCACCCAGTCTGCCATGACTACTGCAGCCACACCCATCCAGTGGCCACGCCCACCCAGTCTGCCACGCCCATTGTAGCTGCGCCCGCCAAGTGGGCCACACCCACCCGGCACCCGGCTATACATAAGTGGGTTTGGGGTTGCCGTTTGGGCACTCGGTCTCTAAAAGGTTCTCCGTCACTGACTTCGGATACTTGGGAATAAGCGCCACGGAAAAGAGAGGGTGGCTTTTATTTGTTATTGTGGCCGTGCCTCGTGACGAATGGGGCAGGCGATAAATTTTCCATCCTGCAGAAATGCTGCTGGCTATCTAGGAAAGATAACTTTCCCGCCGCTAAAACCCGTCGGACAAAAGCCGGAATCCGTCCCGATTTGTACAGAAGCTGATATCTCGCCCGATGCGTCCAGCTCTCACTTTCCCGGCCATTATGTGGGATCAATTTCAGTGTAAAGCTTGATGGATGCGCCCTGCACTTTGGGGAGATGCTTATCCCCCCACGCCTGTTTTCAAAGGCTATCTCTGAAGACACAGGGTTTTTTAATGGGCGGCTCAAATGGCACTTTGTTTTTTTTGTTTTTGTTTTTTTTCAATTGCCGGTCATTGATCGGCTTTGAAAGGGGTTGTCATTTTGTTTAGAACACAAAACAGCCCGCAAGAGAAGCTCTTGGTTTTTGCCATTAATTCGAAGGGGAATTTTATTAGCGACGATGCAGAGCAAAAAAAAACGGGCAAGCAGGAACAAAATTCCCACCAGGGAGGATCACTTTGTGGGGGATCACTGTGATAATCACAAAGCCATCAGTTCCTCCGTGGTCTTTAATTCTTTGCAAAGAGCTTTGCAAAATCCAAATGTTCACTTAGAAGAGAATCTACGCAACTCAAGGTTGAAATGAGCGTGGCCGGCTGGGGAATTAATAATAATAATAATAACAACAACAATAACAATAATAATAATAATAATAATAATAATAAAAATTGGAAGGGACCTTGGAGGTCATCTAGTCCAACCCCCTGCTCAGGCAGAAAACCCTATACCATTTCACACAAATGGCTGTCCAGTCTCTTCTTAAAAACTTCCAGGGTTGGAGCATTCACCGCTTCTGGAGGCAGGTTGTTCCACTGGTTAATTGTTCTCACTGTCAGGAAGTTTCTCCTTAGTTCCAGGTGGCTTCTCTCCTTGGTGAGTTTCCACCCGTTGCTTCTCGTCCTGCCTTCAGGCGCTTTGGAGAATAGCTTGACTCTCTCTTCTTTGGGGCAGCCCCTGAGATATTGAAGTTGAAATCCAGTAATAATAATAATAATAATAATAATAATAATAATAATAATAATAATAATAATAGTAGTAGTAGTAGTAGTAGTAGTAGTAGTAGTAATAATAGTAATAATAGTAATAATAGTAAAATTGGAAGGGACCTCGGAGGTCATCTAGTCCAACCCCTGCTCAGGCAGGAAACCCTATACTATTTCGGACAAATGGCTGTCCAGTTTCTTCTTAAAAACCTCCAGTGTTGGAGCATTCACCGCTTCTGGAGGCAGGTTGTTCCACTGGTTAATTGTTCTGACTGTCAGGAAGTTTCTCCTTAGTTCTAGGTTGCTTCTCTCCTTGATGAGTTTCCACCCGTTGCTTCTTGTCCTGCCTTCAGGCGCTTTGGAGAAAAGCTTGACTCCCTCTTCTTTGGGGCAGCCCCTTAGACTTCGCCTTCTGTTTGTTCTGCAGACAGAAGCTCTCTGCTGGCTGTGCCCGTCTGCATGTACCCCAAGTGAACAGGCCTATTTGCGTCAGTGGCAGAGCGACCCCGGCCCAGGTCACCCCCTCGGATCAACTAACACCGGTTTGTTTTGCAACCCCGTGCAGGAAATGGAAGACATTCTCCGATGCTACATCGCGGAAGGAAATGCCGATATGATCCAGCAGATTGAGTTTATTATCAAGCAGCTGCAATCAGGTGAGAGGAAGGGCTGACACCAGCTCAGCGATAAAAAGATAAAAAGCTTCCTCAAAGTAGGTTTTATCACGGGTTCTCCACAAACCCGTTCACCTAACAGGAGGTCAGGTGTTAACCAAGAAATAAATTAACCTAACTTTTCAGTTCCTACGTTAGCCTTGCAAATCGTCAGCAACTCTTTTCCTAACTCTCGTTCCCGCTCGTCCTCAACTTACAAGCCGTCCATTTAGTGTCCGTTCGAAGTTACAATGGCACTGAAAGAAAAAAAAAAAGACTTAGGACCAATTTTTTTTCAGCCTTACCGCTCTTCCAGCGTCCCCAACGGTCACGGGATCAAAATGTGGACACTTGGCAACCTAGAGCAGAGCTTTTCAACCAGTGGTATGGGTACCCCCTGTGGTACATGGGCACCTGGCAGGAGGTACGTGACCATCCTAGAAAAGTGGTGGCGGGGGAGGGGAATGAGCTGAACCGGTGGCAGCACCGCACAAGCCTGAGCAAGAGACGGCTGGAGCTGCAGGGCTGTCAGGGCTCAGCGGAAGCCCCAGGATCAATGCCGCTTTCCAGCTGATCGGCGCTTCTTCGGGGCTGTCAGGGCTCAGCGGAAGCGTCAGGATCAGCACCAGGATCCAGCTGGAGCTCAGCACTGATCCTGGCGCTTCTGCTGAGCCCAGAAGAAGCGCCAATCAGCTGGAATGTTGCAGCATCTCCAGGGTCTTGTGATTTACATTCAGATGTTTGGCAACCGATTCATATTTATGACGGTCACAGTGTCCCAGGGTCATGTGAAGGGACCAAAACCTGTTGCAACCACCCAGCAGATGGGAGGAATAAAAACCAAACACCCCCCCACCCCACCCCCACTGCCAATCCTCAACAGAAATGCTCACAACAATGGATACCTCGGACAGGAGGAAGAGCGCCGCCGGGCGGGCAGGCAGGTGTCTTGCTCAGCTGTGGCTTGGGGGACACTTGTTTCAGTGCCATTATATCTTCAAACAGTCACTAAGCAAACTGTTGTAAGTCGAGGACTACCTATACTTTAACACTTCCCCCCCCCCTTTTTTGTTTTTTTGGTTTTTTTTGGTCATCAAATTTTTGACACCTTGCTGGGCGACTGGTGGGACTCGGATGTTGCCCTATCCTAAAAGTGGTACAATGGGTGAAAAGGTTGAAAAGCCCTGCCTTAGAGGCCTTGGACTTAGAACAACTTTATTCTCACTTTAAATGTACGCTAAGCGGCATACGTTGAAATGAGATTTCATTGCATCCAGCTCTCATAGGGTCACCCCCTCCCATATACACCGCGTAAACATGACCAAAAATAATAATAAAAAAATAAATGTATGCCTATACCCACCCACACACACACACACACACACACACACACACACATATGTGACCCAGAGAAACAACACAGTCTAGTTTGGACGTGAGTTCTAGTCCCGCCTTAGGCAGAAAAACCAGCTGGGTGACTTTGGGCCAATCACCAGGAGACGGTGAGTTCTAGTCCCGCCTTAGGCATGAAAGCCGGCTGGGTGATTTTGGACCAATCACTAGGAGATGGTGAGTTCTAGTCCCACTTTAGGCATTTAAGCCAGCTAGATGACTTTGGGCCAATCACCAGGAGACAGTGAGTTCTAGTCCCGCCTTAGGTATGAAAGCCGGCTGGGTGACTCTGGGCCAATCACCAGGAGACAGTGAGTTCTAGTCCTGCCTTAGGCATGACAGTTGGCTGGATAACTTTGGGCCAATCACCAGGAGACAGTGAGTTGTAGTCCCGCCTTAGGCATGAAAGCCAGCTGGGTGACTATAGATCAATCTCTCTGGGTCAGCCCAGCCCACCTTATAGGGTTGTTGTGGGGAAAACAGGAGGAGGAAAGACGATTAGGTATGTTCATCATCTCGAGTCTTTTATAAAAACAACAGAGGGAAAATTTAAAAAATGAGTTTCTGGGCTGATTTATGTGCTTTTATATGTTCCCTTATAGAAGATCCACAGGAAGACAGTGCAGAATCCGACGATGAGGAGAAGGAGGACAATGCTGAAGTAAGTATGGATGCAAAACCCTTGAAAAATCTAGATACAATCACAGCATAGAAGAGCTCCTTGCCCTTTATATGACCGTTTTCCACACTTAACAACATTCCAGCATCCGCAGGGTCGTGGGATCGCTGGGCAACTGACTCATATTTATGAACGTCAGGCTGTGTCCCAAGGTCAGCTGCGACCTTCTGAAAAGCAGAATTAATGGGGGGGGGGGGGAAGCCAGATTCTCTTAACAGCCGCCTTACTGACTTAACAACTGTAGCGCTTTGCTTAACAACCGTGTCACGAAAGGTCGTAAAATGGGGCAAATAACTCACTTAACAAATGTTTCACTTAGCAACAAAAAAAACCCTGGGCTTGACTGTGGCCGCATGTCGAGGGCTACCTGTACACGACCAGGAGGCTAGTAGGATCATTGCGTGAGTACGGGTCATAAATCCGTCATAAGTTTGAGCCACTGTTAAATGAACAGTTGTAAGTCGAGGGCTGTCTGTAATAATAATAATAATAAAGTTGGAAGGGACCTTGGAGGTCATCTAGTCCAGCCCCCTGCTCAGGCAGGAAAACCTATACCATTTCAGACAAATGGCTGTCCAGTCTCTTCTTAAAAACCTCCAGTGTTGGAGCATTCACCGCTTCTGGAGGCAGGTTGTTCCACTGGTTAATTGTAAGGAGTTAAGTTTCTGCAGCTGAAGGGCTGGAAGGAAAATAAATGAGATTAACGAGGTTTTCTAACCAGCTTTTTGTTTTATTTGAGAGGCTAAGGGTCATTTAAGCTGAGACTATTCAGTGGGGCCTCCTTGTCAAGCAGGATGTCAATCTCGACATCTTGCACCCAGAAGGCGAGAATTTTAATGGCGGTATTTAAAAACAGCAGTGCATTGTGAGTAATTCTTTCTAAGGGCAAATTGAGGACTTGTTTGTATCCCAGTCCAGCCTGCAGATAGTCTTCTTGCATAAAGATTAAACCAGAAACTTTCTTTTTTTAAAAAAAAAGAGTTTTATTGGTTTTTTCCCCCATCCATTCGGTAATATTTATTCAACAAACGTTGAATAAATACATATTTAGTTCCTAATCCTTTATTCTTTCCTCTAGCCATTGATAAAATAAGTCCCAAGTTTGGTCATATTCCGTTTCTTCTTTTTCTTTCAGTCTCATAATCGGTCTGTCCGTCTCTGCGCATTCTAGTATTTTTTTCTTAATTATTTCTTTTTAATTATTCCTTCCTTTTTCCAATATTGCGCAAATATAATTCTTGCCGCTGTTGTGACATGCAAAATCAAATATTTGTTTTTCTGGCATTATAACTAATAAAAAAAAGTTCAGGTTTAAAATCTACATGTTCTCCCAATATCTTTTCTAGCCAAACGTGTATCTTTTTCCAATAATTCTTTACTTTGTCACATGTTCACCAAACATGATAAGTGCCTGGCTTATGTTTACATTTCCAACATCTGTCTGACGTGTTTTTAAACATTTTTGCTAGTCTTGCTGGTGGCAAGTGCCATCTATAAAACATTTTACATAAATTTTCTTTGTAGGAAGTTGATCTTGTCAATTTGTAATTTCTTTCCCATAAATTTTGCCATTTTTCTAGTTCTGTGTTGTATCCAAAAATTTTCGCCCATCTTATCATTGTTTCTTTAACTTGTTAGCTTTCCATTTTCAATGTTAATAAGAAATTATACATTTTCTTAATTAGTTTCTTATCAGAAGTTAACAATGTCTTATCAAACCCAGTTTGTTCCTTATAAAATTCATGCAGTTTAACATCTTATGAATATTTAGCTTGCATTTGTAACTGTGCCCACCATGATAAATTGATACCCTGATTTTCCATTTCTTGTTTAGATTTTAAATTCCCTTCAGAATTTAGAATATCTCTATATGTCCAGATTTTTTCAAAGTCCACTACATTTGGGTGTGCAAATGCTTCCATTGTTGACAACCACCCTGGAATTTTCGAATATATTTTACATTTTATTTTTCCCCATGTTGTTAATAATGCATTTCTTATATAGTGATTTTGGAAGTATTTATGAATTTTATTTTTTCCGTACCATAAAAAAGCGTGCCACCCCAATTGTAAATCATGCCCCTCCATATATAACAGCCTTTTGTTTCTAAGAGTTATTCATTCTTTTACCCATGTTAATGCAGATGCTTGATAATATAAAACCCACTCTGGTAAACCAAAACCTCCATTTTCCTTGGCATCTTGTAACATTTTCATCTTAATTCTAGCTTTCTTTCCTTGCCAAATAAATTTCAAAATTAATGAATTTAAATCTTCAAAAAATTTTTTTTCAAGTTTTATAGATATTGTTTGGAATAAAAATAAGATTTTCGGTAGTATGTTCATTTTCACTGTAGCAATTCTTCCTAATATTGACAATATTGACACTCTTTTATCGTTGAACATCTTGCTGTTAAATATATTCCCAGATATTTGACCTTTTTAATTATTTGCAATTCTATTTTTTCCAACATTTGTGGGTTTTGTTGTTGTTTATCTGTAAGATTTTTAACTTATTACTTTGGTTTTTTCTCTGTTTATTTTCAGTCCTGCCATTTCTCCAGATTGTTCTATCTTTCCCAGTAGTTTAGGAATCATCTCCAAAGGTTCTTCTAAAATAAATACCAAATCATCAGCAAATGCTTATAATTTATATGTTTCACCTTTTATTTCTAGTCCTTTAATTTCTGTATCTTGTCTAATATTTCTGTTTAGAACTTACAAGGTCAAAATAAATAATAATGGAGATAATGGACATCCTTGCCTTGTACCTTTTTTTATCTCAAAGTTCTCAGTATAATTTCCATTCACAATCATTCTCGCTGTTTGTTTATTGTATATTGTTTTAATCATATTTATAAAGTTCTGTCCAAAGTCCATTATTTTTAATTACTGAATCATAAATTGCCAGGAAACGTTATCGAATGCCTTTTGGGCATCTAGAAATATTAGCGCCAGATGTTTCCCTGGATGTAATTCATAATATTCCAATACATCCATTATCACTCTTAAATTATTTTTAATTTGTCTCTTTGGTAAAAAAAAAAAACCATTTTGGTCTGAATGTATAAATTCAGTTAAGAATCTTTTCAGTCTCTCTGCCATTATTGAAGTAAAAATTTTATAATCCACATTTAGTAACGATATCGGTCTATAATTTTTTATCTGTGTCAAATCTAAATCTTCTTTTGGTATAAGGGTAATATTTGCTTCTATCCATGTACTTGGGAGTTTAGCCTCCAACAAAAGTTAAGTGCAAACATCTTTCAACGGTTCACTTAATATATCTTGTAAAGCTTTATATAACTCTGCCGGTCGTCCATCTGGCCCCGGTGTTTTCTCGTTTTGTTTTGTTTTTTTTTTGTCTTCTTATGGCCTCTGTTATTTCCATCATTGTTATTTTTTCCTCTAACATAGTCTTACAGGTTTCTGAAATTATTTTCTTCCAGATATTGAGTCATTCTCTCTCTTGGAATTTGTTCTATATTATACAATTTCTTATAACAGTCTTCAATTATCTTTTTTATTTCTTCATTTTTAAATTGTAGGCAACCTTTTTCAACTTCATAATTTACTTGGACTTCAGTAAGGCATTTGATAAAGTAGATCACAACCTACTACTCAATAAGATAGAAAAATGTGGGTTAGACAGCATCACCACCAGATGGATCTGTAGCTGGCTGACCAGCCGTACTCAGCATGTGGTCGTCAATGGAACCACATCTACATGGAGGGAAGTGTGTAGTGGGGTGCCCCAGGGCTCTGTTCTGGGCCCAGTGCTCTTCAACACCTTCATCAACGATTTGGACGAGGGGATAGATGGGGAACTCATCAAATTTGCAGACGACACCAAGCTGGCAGGAATAGCCAACACTCCAGATGTTACAGGCTTAAGATACAGGAGGATCTGGACAGACTTGAACACTGGGTGCTATCTAACAAAATGAAATTCAATGGAAGTTGAAGTCCACAAGTCTTAAAATTGCCAAGTTTGAAGACCCCTGTTATAAATGAACAAAACTAATGACTTAGGACCTGTTCACACTTACGACCGTTGCAGCCTCACGTGATCAAAATTCGGACGCTTGGCAACTGGTGTGTACTGTATTTACGGACTCAATTGTGGTTGTAAGTCAAGGATTACCTATAGATCTTACCCTAAGGGCTTTTTAAGGTTAAAACAATCAATTTCTACCATTTTTAAAAAAAAACTTAACGACATAGCTCATCTCAGCCCCCTTTTTGTCACGTTGTTGCTTCCGTTCAGTTCCTTTTCTCATTTGTTTGAATATTCCACCCGGGCGGGACTCACTTATTACATGGAATGACATCGTTAACGCTTTATGAGATTTAAGTCCCAGTATAAAATCAGAAGCTGTCAAACCGGTCGATGTCACCGGAGAAAAGAGAATAAGGGCAACGGAGATCCTTCAAAAAAAACGTTTGAGCAATATAATGTCGGTTAATTAATCCTCTAAAACCGTGTCGCTTAATTAATCATCTCAAAAAAAGGAGAGGTTTGAGTCACTGTCAGACAAAACATTGACTTTTTCATTCTTTGCATTAAACCAACTTTTTCTGCTTGTTTTGTTGAGAAGCTGGCCATTTCAATTAGCCAATTAGTTTGCATTTTGAAGCTTTTGAGTAACAAAAGGGCTTGCGTGATTTGCTCAGTCCGTGTTCTACATTTACAATATTAATTTTGAATTGGTACTCAAGATGACTTGCAAAAAAAGAATGGGATGAGACAGGATTTCCGTACAGCCGTCGCGGGGAAAAACACATCACTCCTTAGCTACGAAAGGGCCAAGGTCACGGATCTCTGCAGATCTGCAGACCCAGACTAGAATAGAATAGAATAGAGCTGGAAGGGACCTTGGAGGTCTTCTAGTCCAGCCCCCTGCTCAAGCAGGAGGATCTATACCATCTCAGACAAGTGACTGTCTAGTCTCTTCTTAAAAATCTCCAGTGATAGAGTGCCCA